GTACAGAAAATTTTAAGGTAGGGGTGAAAGAACTTGGAGTGAAAATATGAACTGCTTACAGGCAGTTAGCCAAATTAAGCAGGGACAGTGGGAAGAGGGTTTAAACTATATTTGGGTTCTATTCAGGTGAAATGAGATGTTTACAATTTTTAATTTTTGTTTGCAACTCTATTGCTGGGTTGATTCTGTGCTTCCAAGCACATCTCCATTTGGTATTTTGTCCATTAGCTGATTTTGTGCACTGTTTCAGAACCATTGTTGTGATCTTTTCTTTCTATCCATTAAATGAAATAGGGAACCAGGAGGGGGTGACAGTTCCACCTTCACATCATTTTGCCAATGCAAAGCTCCTTGGCAGAGGCATAATTCTCACCAGTTATCAATTATACCCTTCACACAGCTAGGAAAAGGGAAAATTAGTTTTGCTGACAGAAAAATCCATGTCAGAAAGTCACAATGAATTTAAAAACGAATAATGCGAACTTCATGCTGCAGCAACTCTGTTATGGCAACCTATAAAAACCAAGCACATCAAGAGTCTGCTTAGAGACATTTGTCAAGAAAGGAACTACTGGTACAATTCCAAGATCTGTTGTTTCTTCCCTGCAGGCTAAAGAGGCTGACAGCTCCTCTGAGTGGATGACTCCTCCCTGAAACTCACCCTCTTCTTGTGTCATAGTTTGATGATATTTATACTGACAGATGTCACAAAATGACATTCTAAGATGATTTGGGTTCAAGCTCAATGGAATGTTTGGTTTGAACTCAAAAGTTTTTGAGGTAAAACCACCCCAAACTTCTATGCTGTGCCTCTATCTGCAGTTGAAACTGATAGCCTGCAAAAAGAGACATCTGCAGATATGACATGCTTACAAACTCATCAGAACATGCCCACTGCCTTGACTGCTTTCAGATATGCAAATGAACTTTTTGATGGACAAAGTTTTTTAGGATTGCAGAATCGCAGAAAAATTCAGGCTGAAAGAAACTTCAGGAAGTCTCTAGTGCAACCTCTGATGAAAAGCAAGACTGCATCTCAAATCAGACCAGGTTATTCAGGGCTTCATCCAGATTAATTTTAAAAATCTCCAAGGATGGAGACTACACAATTGTTTAAATAAATTTTTCAATGGTGTTTTCATAAGGAATCTAATTAGAAAAAAAAGAGATATCTTAGTGCAGGAAGATTAGTATTGGGAAAGTGTCTGACAAAATGGACTTGACATCTTTTCCCTATTCTGTTGCTCAAAACTTCCATTTCTATTACTCCTTCCTTTTGCTTGTTTCCTCTTGTGCATTCCTTTTCTTCCACTACATAAAAAATTCTGTGAAGGGCCATGGCATAAGGCATGCATATATTGGCAAACATCTGGCAGGCTTTCTTTGTTATGAACTGTAGGACATTTTCCCAGTTGTACAGACATCACAGCCTTTTGGTTTCTTTGCAAGGTTGAAAAATTTTATTTTACCTAAAGTTGTTTTGCCAATCCAAATCAAATATGTGATGAGTAAGTGACTTACAAACACTAGTTTGAGCTTCTGCCCACTGTGTGTTTTGTCAATGTTTTATTAGATAATTTTTAGATATGAGGAAGAAAACTTTTACCATGAGGGTGGTGTGACACAGGAACAGATTTCCCAGAGAGTCGGTGGATGTTCCATCCCTGGAAGTGTTCAAGGCCATGTTGAAATGGGCTTAGAACAATCTGGTCTACTGATGGAACATATCTCTGCTTATGGCAGTGGAGTTGGAATTCAGTGACCTTTTAGGTCCTTTTCAACACTAAACATGCTTTTCTATGATTCTATAGCTGTGCTCAGTGAGATACATTTTTCAGAACCAAACCAAGTCCCTACATATTCATTTGTTGTCTTACAGGGTTATTGAAGAACCCTCTCCTACAATTTCAGGATTTGCCTCAGTTTTCTGTAGATTTCCCTTCTTACAATCCTGAATGGGCTTCTCTCCTGCCTAATTAACTACCTCCTTCCCCTCTCTGGACGTAATATACAGTCACTGACTGCCTTGTCCTTGCCAAGCTGTGCAGTTAAAGATGGTCTACGCAGCTGAAAGGAACAAGGAGGGTCACAGCACAGCAGGGTTGGCTGCAGGGGACCATGGGAGGCATGAATATCCCTTCCCCTCTCTCTCTCTCTCCCCTTCTGTCTGAGATAGAGAGGTGTATGAACTCTTTCACTATTGGTATTCCATTACGCTCAGTCAGAAGTGGGAGCAGGACAAGGCAGTTGTGCTGCCTGTGTTTGTGTGAGTGCTGTGTGTTGCATACATCTCATAATATGTACAATGCACACCTGTGCTCTGTTTATGCCTGCTAAGAACCCACACTCAGCCTCCTTACTGGCTGAACACAGGTTTTGCTCATACAGCATCCTCAGCCCTTGATCTGCTGAATCTGGCCTCATTTCTCCTGACTTGCTCTGGGCTTAACCTGGGAGCTGATAACTGTGCATTTCTCTGTGATCTTTCCCATTCCTTCATTGTGATGATGTGTTTAAAATTCTTTAAAATGTGGGTCTTTCTCCATTGGTAACTATAAATAGAACAAGCCCTGATAAAAGAAACAGTGTGATTTAGGAGCATTTGTAATCTCTGCCTTCTCTGCCACCACTCCCGCCCCTTCCATTAGAAGCAATTACCTTACTGCTTTTCTCTCTCTATTTATCTATCCGTCTATCTGTGAATCCTTAGCAAGTAATTAAGACCTTGTGCTGTCATGTCAGATTGCAGCCCAAAGTAGAAAAAAGTAGGAGAAAAGATAAATTCACCTCTAAAACTCCTAAGGAACATTCTAGTTCTTATTCATGAGTTTTAGTGGGTCATCACTCTGTCCTAGTCAGATGTTAGGAGAGAATATATAAAAAAAGTAATTTAAAAAGTAGAAATAATACTTGTCTGCAATGGAAATATGCTATGAAATGTGGAAATGCTGTTTCCAGCAATGGAAAACCGAAATGGAAGAGGAAGTATAAGCATACCCTAAAGTCTCTGAAAACACACTCTTGCATCTGACTGAACAGCCAGCTTTGCAGGTTGTCTATATTTAGTGGTGTTTGGGCTGAAAAATTTCCAACATTTATTTGATTTTTACCTGGAAAATAAATTGACATTCTTTTGACATTCTCTGCACTCAAATAAAGGTTCAGTGCTTCATGTAGTGCATGGCATACAGGGTGATGTGATGCATACCATTCCTCCAGCTTCATCTTCCAATGTAAACAAGGGTGTATGACCTTCCAGCTGAAATTCTCTACTTACTGAGCCAGCTGATAAAATCTGTTATTGCCATCTACCTGAAGTCTTGTAAGAAACTTCACTTTACTCAAGAGCCACAAATGAGCTAAGTTTCTTCTGTGAGAATGTATCCCTTGTTTATGGTGCTCTGGGAGCGAGGTAGCACTAAAAAAGCAGAAATCAGCTGAGAAGTATGGTTTAAACTGATATGATTTTAGAGCTGATTTAGAATAGCTTCCTGATAACAGACTGTATTTTTATCTGTATCTTGAATATTTTAAGGATTATGCATATTATCAAGTATCTGGTCCTAAAAGTGGCAGATCAATTTATGCTCATAAATTTATCAGTGAATAAGTCATGCACTGAACTAAACCTAGTCGGTAATGTCTAGCTGCACTTTTTCAAAGGCAGATTAATTTACATACTACAGTCACAGAATTATTAAGAAACGCTGTAAGAAATCAGGATTTAGGTGGAGAAGTAGGCTGTTTCAGTTTTAATTTCCCCAGCTATTATTTTGCTAGTAATATGAAAGAATTCAGTCTAGATTTTTTTTAACCAGCTGTCAAAGAAAAGACCTACTGAGGATGAGTCAGCTGAGGCATGAAAATTGTGACAGACCATGGAGTAGCAATGACAGATTGGATCTTGACTTTCCTTTTGATTTTTTCAACCTAAAAGTACCCTGTTATTTTATTTACTTGTATCTTCCTGAAAGTTTGCTGCTCAAAACTGGACTCCAGTGCCTGCCACTCTAGTGCCTTGGACAGCAGGAGGCTGCCTTCTATTTCTTATATGCTAAACTCTTAATAATATAACCCTCCTTTTCATCGGCAGCACACTGTTGACTTGTATCCAGTTTTAAAGCCTTTATATATCTCAGATCCTTTTTTGCAGTGTAGCTATCTAGGCATTTGTTGTATGTATGCACTTGAGTTTCCTGCAGTACTTCATAGGTGCTGTTATTGGATTTTGTTGTACTGATCTGAGCCCATTTCACCAATTTATCAAAATTATTTTGAATGTTAAACCTACACTCCAAAGTGTTTGCAGCTCCCCTCAGCTCTGTTATCTACACATCTGAGGAGCTTTTCTACTATTAATATTGCTCATGAAAACACTGACTAGAATTATATTTAGTGCAGCCTTACCTTGTTCCCACCAAATATGATCTTACAGTGTGATGCAATCTAGTTATAATTATGTTAAACCTGCCTCTTTTACCTGCAAGGCAGCTGTGTTCAGCCAGAACCAAAACAGCAGACACAGCTTTTTCTCCTGAGAGTGACTGTGCCAAAGACATTTCCCAGTTTCATCACAGTTTGGCCTGTGCTTCTACTCTGTTTACTGAGGGAGAGACAGCCAGTAAAGACAAACAGGTTGGTCATTGAAAAGATTTTGTTTCAAGAAATGGATAGAGGATGCTTAAAGCTACTTCTTTGCTTTTAGGAGCTTATAAATTGATTATGTAATCATTTACTTCAGCGTCATTCTGCAAAGATAAAGTTATGTTTACTGATCTCTAATTCCCCAGGTGTTTATTTTTCCTTTTCCTAAAGTTAGGATCAATATTTATCCTTCCCCATCCCTTTCAGATTTCATCTATTCTCCTTGAAGTCTAGAAGATAATCACTAACAATTCAAAGATGGATTTGCTCTACAATAAATTTTCTCAAGCCTTGTGACTTGAATATATACAACTTTCCTGAATACCTAAATATTCTTTGGTTTATTTTTATTCTATTCTGGCCTATGTTCACATCCCTTTGTTGTTAACAGCAATCTTACGAGTCATCTGATCACTATTAACCTTTTTGTGAAAAAGGAAGTGAAAAACCCTGGGACATTTCTGCCTCTGATATGTTATCTGTTAATATCTCATTTCCTCCATGAGGCTCAAGACATTGCTTCATTTTGCCATGCCCTCTAAAGCTTTTATATATTCTCTCTATTTTTTTTTTATTTTGGGCTATCATTTGCAAGCTTGTTACCCATCGCTGGATTTTACACATTTACACTTATTACTCCTTGTTTTGTCTGCATGTACTTCTGTACTGCTTTCTCAATAATCCTAAATAATTTTTCTCCATTTATACTTTTGAACAATCCTTATTTGATTCTGAAATACTCAGAAAGCTCCATGCAAGCCGAAATTAGTCTTACCACATTTCCTATGCAGAATTGTTTAACTTCAGTATTGTTTATTTTTGCACTGGTTGCAATATCAAAATAATTTCCCCCATTATTCCCTTGCCCAGGGATTTTATTTGTTTGTTTTTGTTTTAGGCTCATCAGCAATAATTTCCTACTCTTATTCTTGTCCACTGAGAAATCAAGAATTCTAAAGAAATGAAAGCTAAAATTCCTGTTGCGGGAAATATGGTTGTGAAAAGCCGGGGCATCTTTTTTGCTATGTCTCTGCTGGGGCATCATGCTGCTGAACAGGACTAATCTGCCATGGTATTTTGTGATACCAAATATAAGAGAGAAAGAGGATATTTCACAATGGGATAGTATGCTGAAAATTACTGATTTTACATTATAAAGAATGGACTGGAACGGAGCTAATAATAAAAATGGCATTTTATTTATATGCTAGGGTTTTTTGGGCATATGAATTAGGTAGAATGTTATTTCAACTCCTATTGAAATGCAACCATTCCAGTGCAGACAGAATACAAAAATACCACATATTGTAAGACTGAAAGGAGTAGAGCCATTATCAGGAAGGACGAAATCCTTTTTGTGAAAAAGTATTATTTGAAATTCACAGACTACTATCTTTGAAACTGACCAGGAGTTCAGTTGCTCCTTCTGAAAATGGATATTGTTTATTTACGATTGATATTAGAAAACTAGTTTTGCATTCGTATGTTCCATAATTATTATATGTTGAAAGTAGTGTCACTTCCTCTAAATATAGAGGAAGAATTCACCGCTGAGTCTATAAATAGGGTATTGCTGGATGGGAATGTATGAGCTCCTGGAGAACTTACAGTGCTTCACCCTGGGAATGAAAGGCCCATGTACCTTATGTCAGTCTGTGTGCCTTAGGATCTGACCAGGCTTTGTGTCTCACTATGCTCAAAATTCAGTTAGAAGCAAATAATATCATATATATGGAGAAAAGGATTTGTTGCTAGCCCAGTGAATGTTTTAACCGGCTAATAACACAAACTAACACAGACCATTTTCATCAATAGTATTAACATATTTATACTAAACCTTCCTAATATTTCTTCCTTTGTTCAGTGGGGTTGTCCTCACCCTTTCAGTACCCCTCTGAGTCCAAGACTGACCCTTCAATACTTAGTAGAGTGGAAAAGGGAAGTATAAAAAGTCACCAGACTCCTGAGGTCTTTGTCAGATGGAGCCTGGTGTTTGTGACATGGATTTTTCCAGTCTTGCATCTGCTTGGATTTACTTTAATATATTTTCTTCACAGAGACTTCTTATATGCTGCTTATTTTAATGGTTTTCAGATTATTCAGCTTTTCTGTTTGCTTTTTCCTTTGCAACTAGTGCCACATTAATCATGACACTGCACTTGTATAGTGACCACTTGTTGGATTCTTGTTGATTGTCATTGGCATTTGCAGTCTGGTACCTCAGAAAAACCTTTCAATTTTTGCTCTAGAGTTCTAGATTATTTGACCCACTTGTTGTTACAAAATAAAACTAAAATGAAGGAACTTATGACAATAGTTGCCTCACTTCTAACAATGGATATCATGGCTAAGCCATGCCAAGACAACCCCTGGTAAGTACTCAGGCCCTTGCACTGTAAGGGAAATATGAAGCCTTTTGTTAATTACAGCCAAAATATATTTGCAGGGCTACTCTCTATCTCCACAAAGGGAGGGTGGTGTGACTATACTCCTAGCTTGACCCAGTTAAATGAATTTGTGTCACCATTTCTGGTTTTTATGGCTTCAATGTGATTCACCATTTATGTTTTGTCTAATAACATTTCTGTTCCTCAATTTCCTCAGTTTACAATGCAAATAATGTTATTTCCTGGACTGTCATTTGAAAAGTAATTTAATTGCTCTTGAGGATGTGCGTCTCATTAACTACTAATATTACCAAATTGTTAGTATAGGGAAAGTCCTAAAATAAGTTTGTTACTTCTGGTTTTGACAACTTAATTATTTGATATAATATTTAGATGCATTAATATAACCTTTCCCTTTCCAGCAGCTACTCATGTTTAAGGTACAAAAATATTAATGGAGCTCTGGGAAGCACAGCACATATTGCAACTGACTGATTTTATTTGGGAGTTCTGAAACAGATAATAACAGAGCAAGCCTGTTGAATCACTTTGTTATACTGTATTAATTTATCTTGGGTAATGGAACTGCAAATTGTGGTTTATGCTCTAATTTTTTGGCAACTGTAAAATGCATTTTATCTAAATATTCAGCAAAGAAAAGATGAGAAACCTTAAATCCTCATCTTCTGTAGAATTAGTTACTACTTCTCATCTTGCCTTTAGCCATGAAAATGAACCAAGAGCTCAATGGGCACTGCTATATTGCTGCAGCATATATTTCTGCTGAAATGTGTTTTATATCTTTCAACGGCACTATGTGAACAGTTATGCAGGCATGCTACTGCCAAAAAAGGGATTGATGATATGTGATGAGATCATGGAGTTCTACCTCAACATAGCAGTATGAAAATCAGACTTAAAGGAAGGAAAAGGAGCACAGAAATCATGAGCAAGTGTAAAATGGGAGGGCATAGGCTCTTGGGAGAGTTTGCTGTGCCTAGGGAGGACTGTGTACAACTGTCTCTGTGGTGACTCTTTTCTTGTGAGCTTCTGCAGATAGAGGAAGGGCCCTGTGACCTGACCCATGTCTTGGGTGGAAAGTTTCACCAGAGAATATCTCAGAATTATAGAATAACTTGGGCTTGAAGGGACCTTAAATATCATCTAGTTCTAATCCCTCTGCCATGGGCAGGGGCAACTTCCACTAGACCAGTTTGTTCAATGTCCCATCTAGCCTGGCCTTGAGCACTGCCATGGGATGGCACATCCACAACTTCTCTGGTCAACCCATTCCAATGCCTCACCACCCTCAGCCTTCTTCCTAATATCTAATCTAACCTGCCCTCCTTTTGTTTTAAGCTATTCCTCCTTGTCCTATCACTGTCCTCATAACATGTAAGGGACAAGAATTTCTAAGGGAAGAGTGTTCCACTTTGTGTTTATTTCTGCATCTGTTTTTCTTTCTGATTACTGACAAACCCAGAAAGGAAGGACTTCCATGTCAGTAGCTAGGAGACTGTGTCCAATGGTAAGGGTAGAGGACCTTCCTGATGCTACAGACTCAATTCTGGGTGAATTTGATACTTTTGATACTTTTAAGTCTTCAGGAGAGGCAACCCGTGAGAGCCATGATACAATTTACAGTTAGTATGCAATTGGACTGGGAACAAAAATTGACTGATTTTATTTATTAAAGCAATCACACAAGATACTTTCATATTCTCTGTAGAAACAAATGGGTTTTTTGTTGGAGACTTCTAAAGGTTCCAAATTAGAGTCTGACTTAGTGTTACAATATATACTGTTGTACATACTTATATTATTTAGTATACACATGTTTATGAGCTATACTAGTTTTTCATTGTATCTGTAGCACTATACAGCCTCTAAATGATTGCATGGAGTAATCCTCTTCAGTGTGGCACATACACAAGTACAGTAACCTTTCTGACAGTGAACATCAACATTTTTAATAAAAGAAGAAACATGAAAAGGGCACATGAAGACCTTTAAAAATATGCTTGAAATCAGACATGAAAAAAATACCACCTTTGTAGCAATAAATGCTGGCTGAAACATGGTGTGGTTTCCTTGCACCACTTCCTAGCCCCCCAGTTATGGAGGCACTGCTGCTTATTCAAAAGAGAAGGGCTTAGCTTTTAGTTTCACAATGGAAGTTTGTTAAAAGGAAGGGCTCAGCTAGTGTTCTTATACCAGTGTTTAATGAGCTGATATGTCTATAATCAGAGGAGAGAAAGATACCAAATGTACCTGTAATATCACGAGTGAGTTATTTGCCATTTTTAACTACAGTGTCGGTACATCAGAGTAGAATCAAGGAGATGACATGCACTTAGCAGGAGGGCATTTATACAAAAAGCAATCCTGAAATATAATTGGTAATAAAAAAAAAATCTATTAATGTCCTATAATATGTTAACAGGATCTTAAAACTGAGTTGCTGAATGATGTAAGTAGAAGGTAATAATTAAGAAATTAGAGGTTAGAATGTTATCAGCAGCTATGTGCATGGATATGTGGTGTTTCCATATCCATGCACATAGCTGCATGGATATGGAAACTTTTTATCTATAAAAAGTCTGACTGTTTGCCATAGACCTACACATGCTGACTCAGGGTGAGGTAAATATTGTGTCATATCATGGGCAATTTTTAAACGTATTTTCTATTTTATTCCCTACTTGCTGCAGCAATAGAGCTGAAAATTTTAGCTCATGCTGCAGTTTTTGGTGGCAGCAAAATACATTTCTGAAATATTCACTAAAGAGAATATGATGAGAAACCCTGAATCCTAATTTACTGAGGAGTTTCTCATGACTTCTCATTTTGCCTTTGGCCATGAAAATCATCCAAGAATAAGATAGCTACTTTGTCATTTCCAATTTTACATATTTCTAGTATAATTCTTTTACAAATCAATTGTATCCCATGCCAGGTCATGCAAAGCTCCTATCAATCAGCAGAGAGTTAATAAGAAGCACTAATTGGTATACAGGGAGTTAACTCTCATGAGGCAGCAATACCTTAGCGAGCTCTGTGGTATCTGTAAGTGCCAGGATGATGTCTAGCAAAAGTCAGTGTTACCACCACCTTTATCCATGTCAGCCTGAAGACTAAAGCAGATGGCCACAGGT